TGTTTCAAGGTTGTGTGTGTGTGTGTGTGTGTGTTTAGAGAGAGAGAGAGAAACATTGATTTGTTGTTCCATGTAGTTATGTATTCATTGGTTGATTCTTGTATATGCCCTGACTAGGTATTGAACCCATAACCTTGGCGTATCAGGCTGATACTCTAACCAAGTGAGCTACCTGGCCAGGGCCTACCTCAAGGTTCTTCAAACATAGTGGTAGAAATCTATATATATAAAAGGTTAAGTGTCCATCCGTCTGACCAGTAGCTATGATGCGCACTGATCACCAGGGGGCAGACACTATGCAGAAGTTGCCATGACATGCACTGGCCATTTAAAAATACACGGCACCACGGACCTGGCACTGACATACCAACACTCGGCTTCCCCCAAGTGGGACACAGGCCCTGCCACCACCCGGGAGCGACACCCCACCAAATCACAGCCAACACTGCCAAGACCCCATGGCGCAAAATGCAGCCCACAGCCCCGGTGCCCCAGCCTTGAAACAGTTCAGGTTTTCTCACTGCGCAGGATATAGTCAAACACTGCTGCAGTTAAATATTTTACCCTTTGTTCTCCCTGTGTGATCTACAATAATGATCTACATCATGTTGATATTTACTGCTGTGTTGCTGACAATTACCTGAAAGAGAAGTTGGGGTGCTTCACTGGATGGAAAAAGTTTAGCTACCTCAGAGAGCAGGTCTAAGGAAGTTTATTGTGTGTGTGTGTGTGTGTGTGTGTGTGTGTGTGTGTGTGTATGGCTAAGTTCACTCGTGCATGCATGATACATATAAAGCTCTCACTGGTGCCAATTGCACATGTGTGTTTCGATTTGTCATTGTCAATCATGAATTTGGTTGACACTCCTATTGTAGAGAAAGGGCAAATAGCAATATTAAAATATTTCTTCTAATTAATTTCCTCTCAATGTGCATGAATCCATGCACTGGGACACTAGTATTTACACAAACACATAGCTATTATATAATGTGATCACTACTATGTAATGTGATAGTCCTGTCACATGGGTCTGAACAAAGTAAGGTGGGAACAGGGAAGAGAGCAGCTAACTCAGAGTAACTTTAATTCCTAGGAGTGAATCATGCAGGGATAATCCTGCATCTCCCATAATGATGTTGGGCTCCAGGCTTTCCAAGATATATGGGGATTGGAGTAGGGAGTCACTCTAAAACATTCACAAGAAATTATTCGCTCGTTTTCTCAGAAGGCTGTTGGGGGAACCAAAAAACCTTGTGGTAGGCACCCTTTTGTGGTTTTGTGTAGTGGCCGATACTCTGCTAGAGGTGCTGACTCCAGTTTCTGCTAAAGCATTACTGGGCTAGATGTGGTCCAAGGAAAGCACTGAGAACGAACATTGCATTGCTTATCCTTGCCATTGTCATCCCAGCTCCTCGCACAGAGGGTGGCATATTGTGGGGTTTGCTGGTGAGTGGAGAGATGTGTAAATAAGAATGGTCCACGTGAGAAATATAGAGATATGAAAGTATAAATAGCAACAATACCTGAACAGGAGGTGATAGGGATTTTGTCCCATGCATGTGCATGCCCCAGTACCTGATAATGGAATACAGTTTGGGATTTTTAACTTAAGATTAAAGAACTAATGGTACTGCTGTAGACTATGATGAGATCAGGGACTTTATTGCCACACAAGGTATACCAACTAAAAATGTGAATTCAGGAAAATTTAAAGAGTATTTAAATTTGCCATCGCTTTCTAAATATATATATATAGTTGCCATCTCTGACAAAATACTCCTGACAGAATAGAACCCAGGGCTGGAAAGAGCCAATGAGCATCCACCTACTTTATGTTCATTCCAGTCCAAATATTTTCCATCCCAAGGTACTGAAATTACTTGTAAATATGACCACAAAACCACTGTCCGTGACACTGTAGGAGACCTGGAGAATGAGAGCAATGTTAGAGCCCTCAGAAAGCCTACTGACACCTACTCCCATCCAAGTCCTGGCTTATATATGTTACTTTTTTAAAAAATATATTTTATTGATTTTTCACAGAGAGGAAGGGAGAGAGATAGAGAGTTAGAAACATCGATGAGAGAGAAACATCGATCAGCTGCCTCCTGCACATCTCCCACTGGGGATGTGCCCACAACCCAGGTACATGCCCTTGACCGGAATCGAACCTGGGACCCTTCAGTCCGCAGGCCGACGCTCTATCCACTGAGCCAAACCGGTTCTGGCTATATATGTTACTTTCAATTAAACTTTTACCAAACCTCCATTCCTTGTTATATTCTCACATGTAATCATAGTTTTCCTCTGTAGCATTTCCTCAGTTGTAACTAACTAACTACTTGCTGTATAATCACTTATTTAATTTTGTTTCTTCTCTTTATTGTATGTGCCTTGTGGGCAGGTTGCATTTTTTATGTTTGCCATTATATCCCCAATTCCTAGCATAGAGTCTGACATATAGTAGGCACTCAACAAAACGAAGGAATATATCCATTTTCAAATTGTTGGGTGCTAGCATTTATATCCCACAAACCTGATGTCAGTCCCTGGCATATTACAGAGCAGACTAGAGGCCCGATGCACAAAATTCATGCAAGGGGCTCAGCCCTCGCCGCCCCGGCTTCATCTGCAAGGTCGTTCGGCTATTCGGTCTAATTAGCATATTAGCTCTTTATTATATAGGATTATTAAAAATGTGATCTGTGAGCGTTTTCATAGGAAGCTGGAATGAGCAGACAGGCACTCATTTTTATTTGGTGCCAGTGCCTTTAGCTTAGAATATCTTGCCCCTTCTGCCTTGCTGTTTTCTTGCTCTAATATTTCTGATATTGAGCTAGTAGGAAAATTTATATAGAATATAGGGGTATAAAGTTTGAAATTTAAATTTGCCATCTCTGACAAAATACTGGGGAAATGATAGAATTTCTCTAGCCTGAGGTTTCTTTCCTTGCTAGGAACAGTTTTAATAAGACAAGATGATGAACTTGAGATTAGGATCTATAGTTTTATAAGCCTTGACTAGAAATACCTCACCTTGACCTTTGTTCGTCTTTTTTCCCTATAGGGTTGCATTCTTCCCTTTACATATTGGGGACCATGTTTTTATTGAGGAAGATTGTGTGGTCAACGCGGCTCAGATTGGCTCTTACGTTCATGTTGGCAAGAACTGTGTGATTGTGAGTATGGTGACTTGGTGACTAAGCAGCCTCACTGCCCTCTGGCTCCTGTCCCTCCCATCAGTGGCCTCTGCATCTGTGACCAGACAAGGCAGAAGTAGCTTCTGGTCCGCTGGCATTATTATTGCATTTGGAGCTTTTCCTAGGCATTCATGACCATGGCTGATCTTTATTGAACCTTTTCCCTGTGATGTTAAAGACGTTCCTTCAATTTTTTCATTTACTCCTCACAATCATCCAAGGGTGTTGTAGGTGCTGCTGTTACCCCTGTATGCAGTAAGACTGAAGATCTTAGAATCTAAGACTTAGATACTATAGGGTTGATGAGGCTATTAAGTAGAGCTGGGATTTGAATCCAGGTGGTATGAATGGTCATGCTGCTATATGTCCTACCTGTTGCCTTACCTCAGGGATCTTACTGTCTGGTGGGGTGAGGGGTGAGTGAAGGGTGAAGGGTGAGGTAAAACTGGCTCATAGACGAGAGGAGGATGGGCATTTCGGTTAAGAGGCTGGCATGTGTAAGGCTCAGAGTCACCACAGGACATGACTTCAGGGGAACTGCAGGTAGTTGAGGGTGCATGGGAGCACCTTGCTCAGCAGAACCCGTAGGATCTGGTCCCAGGAGACTTGGCGTCAGTTTGTTTGGTCCCACTCGGGTTTCTTGGCATTTCACAGATGAGGAGCTTGATTTCAGGCAGGATTTATAAGAATGTTAATGATCAGAGCCAAACTGTTTAGGGAAAATGTTTCCTCCACTTTAAATTTGTACTTCAGACCAGATTCTAGGAAAAGCCAATACTTTTTAATATTTTTAAATGGCTGCTCCTAATAATACAGAGCTGGCTCTCTGCTCTGGATGAGACTCTGATCCTGGAGTATCAGAAAACTCGTAGCACCTGTGCAGTTAACGTTCCAGGAGCCACAGGCACCTGCAGGGGAGAAGCCCTTGCTGCGAGGAGCATTCCAACCTGACCTGTTACTCAGAATCAGGGCAGGTGGTTGTTTTGCCAGGTATGTTCCTCCAGGGTGCTTAGTGTTAGAGACCTGGCCTGCTGTGGAAGGAAGGGGGAAAATAGTGAAATCCAGCCTGTCCCATTGTCCCGTTGACAAAAGCTGGCTTTCCAAGCCTCAGCTGGGTTTCCTGGTATGTCCTGTGGCCAAGAAGACCTCAGCGTAGCACCTTAGTCTTTCAGCCTGTCCTTTAGCCCTGCAGCAGACATTTGAAATGTTCATGGCCAGATGCTAGTCCCAGGCCTGGGGAAGCCTAGTCCCGTTGTCAGGTGCACTGCTTCGTGGGTCACTTTTCAGTATATCAATTGACTGTCATTTCACAGTCACTGTTCAGTAGTGGTAGTACTGTCCTCGTTTGCTGAACCTTTACAGATTCTCAAGTAATGTGAGAATCTTTTTTTTTTTTTTAAATATATTTTATTGATTTTTCACAGAGAGGGAGGGAGAGAGATAGAGAGCCAGAAACATCGATGAGAGAGAGAGAGATCTATCAGCTGCCTCCTGCACATCTCCCACTGGGGATGCGCCAGCAACCCAGGTACATGCCCTTGACCGGAATTGAACCTGGGACCCCTCAGTCCGCAGGCCGACGCTCCATCCACTGAGCCAAACCGGTTTCGGCTGTGAGAATCTTTTAAAAGAGTCTGGCGTGCCTCCTGACACACAGGTCCTTCCTATAGCATCCACGTGAAGTTTTAGGTATTAATCAGAATTGCCCAGATGCCAGCGGGGAAAGTCCAACAGGCAGTATTAATAGGCACTGTTGTGCTGTGAGTTGTGCATTTACCACTCTGATCCTGACAGCATCCCTGCAGGTTGGTTTTAGGTCCTCTTTCACAGATGACACAAAGGCTCAGAGATGCTGAATAACTTGCATCAGGAGATATAGGTAGCTTAATGCTAGCAACATGCACTTCTTGACCCTTTCAAGAAAATTCTCCAGGAAAGAAAAAGAAGTAGTTTTATATTTTTTAATTTTTTAAAAATATATTTTATTGATTTTCCACAGAGAGGAAGAGAGAGAGATAGAGAGTCAGAAACATCGACGAGAGAGAAACATCGATTAGCTGCCTCCTGCACATCCCCCACCGGGGAAGTGCCCACAACCCAGGCACATGCCCTTGACCGGAATCGAACCCGGGACCCCCCAGTCCGCAGGCCGACGCTCTATCCACTGAGCCAAACCGGTTTTGGCAAGAAGTAGTCTTAGATGTTAGCCTGCCTTCTCCACTATTGCCAATTCATTATGCCTAAGAAGTACCTACATTTTTTTTTTAATTTTGCTGATATCTAATTGATCTTTTTACCCAGAAAGCTCTGAAATCAAAATGAATATCATTTCTCTGAGTGGGCAGAATGGTCAACCAGTGGACAAAGCAGGCTGGTGGTACACAGAAGATCTGTGTTCCTCTTGTTTTGTTTTGTTACATCTCTCTCTCAATATATATATATTGATTGATTGATTTCAGAGAGTAATAGAGAGGGAGATAGAAACATCAATGATGAGAGAGAATCATCAATCGGCTGCCTCCTGAACGCCCTTTACTGGGTGTCAAGTCCATACCTGCGCATGTGCCCTTGATCAGAATCGAACCCGGGACCCTTTAGTCCACAGGCCGACGCTCTATCCACCGAGCCAAACCAGCCAGGGTCCTTGTTCCTTGTCAGGGCCCACTGTGCACAGATCTCTGTATGTGAATGTATCGTGCCTTACATAGCACATTCTCTTGCCTGTTATTCAGGGCTCCATGTGCTTAGTCTGAGTTATTAGGAGCTAAGATAGCATCTTGGAGTCATTTGGAAATTATGAGGGAGCTGGTCACCAGCTGGATTTTGAAATTGCCAATATCAGGGAATTCATGGAAGAGAACTTTGCAAGGAGGATGAATAGCTGCAGTAATGACTTGCTTCTGAACTAAAGATGTCGCCAAGTATTGCCAAAACTATTGTCCACAAAGCTAGAGACAACTTAGTAGACACTTAAGAAATTAGGACCTTAGAAATATAAGTGCGTTAGGGGTAAAAAAAAAAAATTCATTTGGCAATCTATCTGTTAATTCTTGAAAAAGCATCCGATTTGGGTATATTTGGGCATTTAATAATGGGGAAAATTTGGTCACAACTAAATGAAAGTATCTTTCATATTCTTTGGTAAAATTCTTTGGTAATTCACATAGTGAATTACAGGCCCTGGTGATGTAAATATAAGTTGGTACAGAACAAAACTTATAGCAAGTAGCCTGAGGCGTACCTCTAAACTGTTTTCAGAGCCTCTCCTTACCCTTCACCCATGGAACAGATGGCTCTCCCAGACGTCCTCTCTTACCCTCAGAATGCCGTGGGTGATGGCAATGGAAAATTGGTGGCCGTGGATGAAGGCAGACACAAGGCTCAGCCTACACCTTCAGACAGATGAATGGACTAATCCAATCATTAGTGTAGAAGTGGATTCTAATTTCGTGCATAAGTGGCTCTAGAACTTCGAGTGAAGAAGTGAGAATCAGCTTCCTTTCCTTTTCTGTTTTTCTGTGTGAGCCTCTCGGGCAGGGTCTTTCCTCATGGAAACAAGATAGCGCTCCTGTTTCTGTGCCATCCTTTGGAAACTTCGTTGAGAAGAGCTTTTCCCCCCAGTGCTCCTGATGTGGTTTTTGGCTCAAATGCCAATTCTCTAGACCAGCGGTTCCCACCGGTGATCCGTGGACCACTGGTGGTCCGTGAGGTCTGGCAGGTTGGCGACCGCTGCTCTAGACCAGTCTCTGTGGCCAGCTTGGGGTTTAGAGTGTGGGATGGAAATGGAAGCACGTGGGCTGAGCTGGGCATAGGGGTAGTTCCCAACAGAAATACAGGTTCTGTTACCAGAGGAAAGGGGAACAGAGGTTGAGCAAGCAAAACAGATGTCCACTAAATTAAAAAAAGAAAAAAATTAAAGAGAACTCTTAGAAGACTGAATGTCATATAGTCTGTAATGCTTAAGATAACCTGGACTGTCCCCAGCATATAACCTCCAGCTGAAATGTGCCCTCCCACCCCCACTCCACACACACACACACACACTCACACTCACACTCACACTTATATTCCTACCTCCTCTTGCTTGTCAGGTACCATCTGAAGCAGGGAATTGTGGGCAAGCCTCTTGTCACTTTCCCTGGCTATTGTAAGATATCACAGATGAAGAAAATATAAAATAGCCATCCATGTTTATTCGTATTTCCTGATCTATTTCCTGTTAATAATATTGTAATTTCAGGGGCGCCGGTGTGTGTTGAAAGACTGCTGCAAGATTCTTGACAACACAGTACTACCCCCAGAAACGGTGGTCCCACCATTCACTGTCTTCTCAGGCTGCCCAGGTAACCGTCAGTACTGATTATGAAAACTCGTTGATTTTTCTTCACAAGACATGCAGGCAATTTCTGTCTCTGACAGTATGTTAGTCTAGCTGACTTAAAAATTCTTCTACTACAAAGTACATGAGAATGCTGTTTGCAATATGACAGGTATCCTTTTAAATGCATAGTTGGATAAGGACATTCTCATGGGTCAGAAGTAAAGAGGAAACAGAGTGGACACTGGGAGCACGCTTCAGTTGACGCTGTCTTCAGAAAGGAGTGGCTGAGGGTGGATACTGTGTGGGGAAGAGAGAGAGCCTTGCATCCACACATGGCAGAGGGCCTCTTGGAGGGTTTCCCTCAATAAAAGTTGATGTAGAGGAAGTCTGTCACCAGCACAGGAAGAGCAGAGAGAGGCATGTCTCTCTTGGCCTGGGTGGCTACATGGGAAAAGGAAGTCTCTCCAAAGAATTCTAACTACGGCCTTATGCGCACATTGGTTGGTGATTTGAACTTACACTTCCTGCCCTGCCCAGGATTGTCCAAATTGAAAAGTGAACGTACAGCATGGTCTAATACCAGTGACAACTCTAGACAGCTGAGAGAAGTAACTGTATCCCCTCTCAACCTTGGCTGACAGTGCTCGTAGGTAAAAACCCTCTTGAGCTAGGAGTTCCTGATTACACAGCATGTGAGGAAACAAGTAATACATGCTTGTCCTAGAAAGCTCGGAAAACACCGAAATCAAAGGAAAATGGAACCTCCTATTTCCCCCACCCCAAGCATCATTTCTTTTTTTGATATATATATAATTGATTTCAGAGGGGAAGGAAGAGGGAAAGATAGAAACATCAATGATGAGAGAGAATCATTGATCGGCTGCCTCCTGCATTCCCTGCACTGGGGATCAAGCCCGCAATCCAGACATGTGCCCTTGATGGAATCGAACCTGGGACCTTTCAATCTGCAGGCTGACACTCTGTCCACTGAGCCAAACTGGCCAGGGCAACAGTTATGTCTTATGCATGTTTACATAATTGAAATTCTATGACGTATACACAGACACATCACAAATTCATAGATGGATATCTGCTACTGGGTGGCTTAATTGTTTTTCCAGTTTAAACAGTCTCATTACTCAGATTACTGAATATGAGTTTCAAAGATGGACAACATTGTCCACCCAGATTCTTTGGGGTGGAAATTGGCCATTCTGTTATTTCATGCGTCTCTGCTTTTGCAGAGGAATAAGAGACATCTTTAGTAATTCTCCCCATATAGGGTTCCACTGAGAAAAAGTCTCATTGATCTTAGCCAGTGTTAGGTCAGATTGTCAGATAAACATCTCATCTGAGGTGAGAAGTGCATTGTGCCCTGGCCGGGTGGCTCAGTTGGTTGGAGTGTTGTCCCATACACCAAAAGGTTGTGGGTTTGATTCCCAGTCAGGACACATACCTAGGTTGTGGATTCCATCTCCATTCTGGGCGTATACAGGAGGCAACTGATAAGTGTTTGTTTCTCACATTGATGTTTTATTTCCTCTTCTCTTCTCTTCTCTTCTCTTCTCTTCTCTTCTCTTCTCTTCTCTTCTCTCTCACCCTGTCTCCTTCCCTTCCTCTCTCTTAAAAAGAAAAAAAAAGGAAGTACATTGCTAGAGAAATCTCCTAATGTCTTTTAACTTATTGAAGGTCCTTAAACCAACTTAGAGCTGATGGCAGAAGTCAAGGAGGGCTCCACACTATGAATCTGAGTCATGGAACAAATTGAGAGGCAAATCATACAGAAAGAGTCTGGGTCAGGAACCAAGAACTCAGAGGGCCCCAGGCCAGGCAGATTATGCAAATAATTGAAGTAATAGCCCATCTTATTGCTGCTCGGCCTTTTGGCTAAGGTCAAGTGTAATAGCCCATCGTAGCTGATTACAAACACAAGTGCCAGTTTTCCTGAAACCCTATGTCTCTTATTAAAGATGGAGATTGCCAACAGAGCATTTAGATGGTTAGCATTTGTGAAACTACATAAAACGAACATGGGAAGTATCTTATCACAATGCACAAAGTACTAAACTCTAAATAGGGCTCAAAGTGCACATCAAGGCTTCCTCACTAACCAGCTCTCACACCTTGAACACCCACCCTCTCTAGGCCTCAGCTTCCTCATTTATACATGACCTCTAAGGGCCTAGGCAGCTTGGATCCTTCATCAGAAGCTCCAAACACAGTGTTTCTTTGGATTTGAAGTATTTAGCAGTGCTTCCCTGACTTATGCTGTCAGCCAAAGGTTGGTTCTAAGGACCTTTAATAAGTTAAAAGAGATTAAGAGGTTTTTCTAGCAATGCACTTAAAAAAAAATATATAGTGCATATGTGTGTTTGTATGTATATGAGTGTATAGGTATATGAGTATATAATATGAATATATGAAACTGTTTATGCATATATAAACAGAATCATACTCTGTTCTGTGTGGAAAGTTGCTTTCTTTACAGTACATCAGTACATCTTGGACATTTTTTCTTGTCAGTATGTAGAGATTCACCTCATTCCTTTTTCTTTTTTTCTTTTTTTTTTTTAAATATATTTTATTGATTTTTTACAGAGAGGAAGGGAGAGAGATAGTTAGAAACATCGATGAGAGAGAAACATCGATCAGCTGCCTCCCGCACACTCCCCAACTGGGGATGTGCCCGCAACCCAGGTACATGCCCTTGACCGGAATCGAACCTGGGACCTTTCAGTCCGCAGGCCGACGCTCTATCCACTGAGCCAAACCGGTTTCGGCTCTTTTTCTTTTTTAATTGACTTTTAGCGGGAAAGGGAGAGAGGGAAACATCGATAGGCTGCCTCCTGCATGTCCCCGACCAGGGATGGATCCCACAACCCAGGCATGTGCCCTGACTGGAAATTGAACCAGCAATCTTTCAGTGCATAGGCCGACTCCCAACCAACTGAGCCACACTTTGAATACATAAATGTACCACAGCATAATTAGTCTGTGCCCTGTATAAGGTGTCATTAGAAGTTGTACAGTACCTGGGTTTTCATGATTAGAAACTGCTGCATTGATGCATTTATATATCTAATAAAAGATATAAAAGAGAAAAATGGTGCCGAAACCGGTTTGGCTCAGTGGATAGAGCGTCGGCCTGCGGACTGAAAGGTCCCAGGTTCGATTCCGGTCAAGGGCATGTACCTGGGTTGCGGGCACATCCCCAGTAGGAGA